GTGATCTTGAGCAAGATAGTGAGTATCTAGAGGCTCTGTCTCCACACCTGTGAAATGGATACGATAAAAGTACCTACTTTACAGGGTAATTATGAAGATGAAGTAGGTTAATACATGTAATGTACTTGGAATGCTGCCTAGTACCTTGCTAATTACTCTAATGTTAGTTGTTACCATTATTTAAATGCTGTGACAAGTCCTTTAGTTATTTGCATTTTGCTTACACTTTTCTGCGAAGGTTTTCATTGGCCAAAGTTCTGTGTGTATATTCTTCTATAGTCACACAGTCTGGGAAGGATAAAGATGTGTGTTCATACAAAGAAGTACCTCTTAGGGGCTGGGGATTTAGCTCAGGGGCAAAAGCACCTGCCTAGCAAGCGCAAGGTCGTGAGTTCGGTTCCCGGTACCGGAGAAAAAACAAAAAAAAAAAACCAAAGAAGTACCTCTTAGATCTTTCAGGAATCTGCCTTACTAGAACTTCAAACTAAGTGCTGTAAAAAATTCTTCTGGTTGAAAAATCTTTCCAGGTTCCAGGGACCTATCTGGATCTCTATTACCACACCACTGCTACCTGTGTCCCTATACTCCCTTTTGTCAATAATTATTATTCTGTGCACTCTCTTCAAAACAAAACATATCCAACCCTTACCTCATTTGATAACATTCACTTAACAGTAAGAGGCTGAAAGTACATTTGAGCAATATTCAACTTCCCAAAATCTCCAAAGTGCAGCGCTTCTGGATCTATGCAGTAACCGTGGATCTGTAACTACTAATTATCACAGATTACATAGTACTTGCATTTGGCATTCCAAACCCATATTCTAGTAACTCCTATATGGTACTTCCTCACACCTTCCTGTGGTCCCTATGAGTAGTAATCCCTGCTCCCTCTTCCACTATTCTTCTCCTATGCAGGTCATAGCTCAAAAACCTTGAAAAGTGTGGTGGATCAGGCTACCTAATCTCTTTTACGTCTTCACTGCTACTTGGCAACCACTTAGTTTTACACTGAATTATACAGCATCTACCTTGGCAGCTTTAGCAATACCAATACTCACCCTAGCATAGTTGCTTTCAACCTAAGAGGCAGCAAAGCCCACCTGCAAAAACTTTTGTCCCATATGTCCCCAAATTATTTCACCTACTTGTGAGAACATGTCAAAATCCTAGTATTTGCAAATGTAACTTCCTTCTGGGTAGATACTTCATCTCAGTCACTTAACCCAGTACCTAAGAAAGGGTAGGCACTCAGTAAAGACTACTAAATGAACGTGCAAACTGATGAAACAGTTTATTTAGGTGAGCAATCCCATGATTACTAAGCCCACATGCTTCTTGCCAATTTACAGCCTCAGCAGCATTTTTACAGTGCTATGCTATAATGTCTAAGAGCACAAACTCAGGATCTAAATCAGTATGCCTGGATGGAAGGAGGGCTCCTCTGCCAACCAAAAGCTCTGTCACTGTGGGCAGAAGTTACTAGGACTCTTTCTGCTTCAACCTGCTATCAATAAAAACAGATTTCATTAAAAATTACATGTTAGTTCCCCATAAAGAGCTTAGAAGAATGCTTACAATGTAACCATTACTTCACAAAAGTGAGCTAACATTTTCACTGAAGTCCATACCACCATAAGGTGAAATCTGTTTCTTGGTTTTTCTGACCTTGCACACTATCATTCTCTTCTGACCTTTTCAGTTGTATCCTCTGTCACTACTGTTTCCTAGACACGGAGGTTGCACCCAAAACCTATCCTTACCGCTTTTCTTAGCTCTCACCTTTGGAAGTTACGCCATAAAGTGTAAAGTACTGTCTCTGCATGGATGAATGACTGCTCTCTCCTGAGCACCTACTTCCCCAGCTGAACCCAACATAAATGCAAGTTATCCTTCTATTATAACAGGAAACCTCACTTTCCCAGATCTGTGGAAAACCTCAGGAATTAGGAAATGACATTAGCCTCAATAAGTATAACTCTAAGATGAACACACAATGGTTCAAAGCAGTGATTTTATTGGAGGGTGAGGGTAAGAGAGCATGTTTGAAGCCTCATGTTCAGATGGGGCTTTGGAAGGTGACTGGATCTTAGGGGCACTATTAGTGGATTAGTCTACTAAATGTACTGAATGTACTGTTAGGAGGTGGGGCCTGATCAGAAGAGGCAGGTCACAGGGGGCATGACCTAGACTAGTGTATCTCCCTCCAGGTTCCCTCCTTTTCTCTCTTCTCTCTGCTTCCTGGCTGCCATGAAGTGAGCAGTTTTCCTCCACTAGGCCCCTATGCCATGCCGTTTCTGCTGTGGATCCAGCCAGCTATGGACTGAATCCTCTTAAAAACTGTGATGAAGTAAACCTCCGTTCCTCCTTTAAATTGTGGTTATTGTTTCTTGGCAATGAGAAAGGTGACTAAGACACATCCTTAATCACATTAAAGGTATCTATAAATCAACAGAAAAGGTATAATATTCTGCAGTGGCCTAGAATGAAACACAGGAAGAGCTGTATGTTAGGCTCCAGATCTGAGGACAAGATAGACCAGGCAGCAGAAGGGGAAAGGGTTCTGAAGATGGAATCTCGCACTGAATCCAGAAGACCTCCATGTGTTCTTAGGGGGTATCAGACAATCCACCTGACTCAAATAAAAACTCACTTCCTTTAGCTCCATTTGTTCTGAGCCCATGTTTTGCCATTTGCTATATAAATCTTTGTTATGGGTCAACTTCATCTATCTCCAGAGAAGATATTTTAATTATATGGATTTACTTCCAATCCCTCTCATATGTACCTTTCAAGATGAATTAAAGTAACTTCTGGTTATGATTTGGGTTTCTATATACCTAAACTATATGCTGGCAAAGTGCTGATTTTCGTTAAAATGAATATTCTTGTGATGGGTGCATTTTACATTGTGAATTAGCTAATTAAAAGCATGGATTTTTAATCCAAACATTTGAATGTGAATCCTAGTTCTGGTCACTGCTAGTTTATGACCATGGACAAATTACTTGATCTCCCTGTACCTGTTTCCTTATCCACAGAATGAGGATAATGCTGGTATACACACCTCACTGGGTTGTCATGAGGAATAAGAGGAAATATGCAGAGCAGAATAATGTCTCACACGGCAAGTGCTTAGTCAGTGGTAACTACTGTTATCTTAGTCTCACATGCATTTTGGCTGACTCAATTCGTTTCACGTGGCTTGGATCCAAACTAAGTTCCATCAGGCCAGTTCATCAGCTTCAGCCTTTCTCTATGACTACAAGTTCTTGACCTGAAGGCTGTAATAAACTTCAGAGAAATTCTATTTAAAATGGGGTGTACATGGCTATGTGTATTTTTCTAAGAAAAGCTGCCACGGCTTTCATCAACTCAATAAATACATGACCTAGAATTGCTTTTTAAAAACAAAACAAAATGTTCTGTCTTGAGACTACCATTTTTCTTTGTTTTTAACATTTTCTAATATTGTAAGTCTTTCTCTGCAGTGCTATTCCAGTGTAGTTTTTCCTATTTTCAACACTGCCAGATTACTTCTCCAAAAGAACTACAATACTATCAATTTCTCTGCTCAGAAACATGGTTACTGTTTAAAGTCCAAACAGCTTAACTGAACATTCAAGCATCTACAACTTGGCCATAATTCACCCTTCCAGGCTTGTCCTCCATTCTCCTCCATAAATGGCCCTAAAGCCGTCACTGGCCATTAAAGAACTCAAGGCAGCTTGCTTCCATACCTCACACTACTTTGTGTAGAATGCCTTTTCACTACTTCCTATCCATCTCCAATATTACTTCCTTCAGCAAACCAAGTCTTTCTTCAGTCACTGTGTTTACACATGGCAGCACTGTTAACATGGGTACATACAACAATGAATCAGACTTCCTAAGCCTCAGGATTACTGACATGTCAAGCAGGATCATTCTTTTTTGTGGAGGGCCACACTATGTAATGTAGGATGTTTAACAGTCTCTTCAGCCTCCAGACATTATCAAATGTTCACACCTGGTTGGTAACTTCTTATGTAATATAACAAATATTGTTTAACTTGCTTTGCTAAATAGTAAATTCTTTAAAGGACCACAACCTTTATTTTATATTCTCAATATAACTGAATACCATAGTTTATAAAAGATTTAAATAAATATTTGTTTTCTGCTAATGTTTCCAAAGCTACAGACAGAACATTCTAACCTACCACATTTTTAGATACTCATGAAACTTGGGTCACTAAATTTCACCTTTGTTTAAGTAAAGCTTTTAAAAGGTAAAAATTCCTGTCATCTATAATTTTCAATAAATATTATATTATAGTTGTGCCCCAAAAGAATCATAGCATTATAGAAGTTAAGTAGCTAGTGAACTTCCACAACACATAAATAATAGTGTTCTACCACTGAAGACTTACAGAAGAATAACAGAAAGAATCTCCTACGCCCTTCAATTAGCCTGTTCTCTAGGCAATACTTAAGTGTTATTATCTCAACTAAATGCTTAGAAACAGTCCAAGTCCAGATAGTGACTGGGGCAAGTTTTCAATCAAAGTCTCTTTAGACAGGGTTAAGGTTCCCTAGATCAGTGATTCAAAACCCTTGTTGCACGGGAGAATTTCCTGCAGAGTTAAAAAGAACAGATTTCTTGGCTTCCTTCTAGACCAATTAAATCAGAATCAGGGAATAGTGCTAAAGATTACCCCTCCCCCAAATCTCCAGTGGCTTCTAACATGCAGAGTGGAGAGCCACTGCTGCAGAATGGTTTACAACCTCACGTATCTTGGCAGTTAATGCAAAAACTTATCTCCTAAGAAGACCTTATACCCTATGAAATGGCTGGAAATTATTTTCTAATTTGCTGAATGTGAGTCCTGTATGTGAATACAATACTTATCTCAAATTAAAAAAAAAACTGTTTTCCCTAGAGTAAAACATAACCAAGAAGCTCATAACTTGCTTCTTGGGATGTTCTCCCTGCCAACTCTCATGATCCAGGCACTTACATTCCTCTTTACTTGGTGAAGTTACATTCAGTTCTGTCGGAAGCGGCTGCTGGCTGGGACTTAGAGTTGGCGTGGTTATCGAGGTATTGTTGTTGTCACTGGTGGTCTCTTCGGAAAACAAATCTGATTGGCTGTTACTTGTACTTGGAGTGGAATCATCGTCGGGTTGTTTCTTTTGAAAATCTGCAAAAGAATAAGAAAATCAGTTTTCTGGATATTAAAAGACAATGTAAGGTGCCATAAAATTAAATTCAAAAACAGCCATCACAAAGACTAATTTGGATGACTAAAAAGGTACAAAAGTGAAACACTGGTCAAAAACAAAGATCAGTAAAGACTGATTAAAATTAAAGTTTTCCAAAGTCTTTTTATTGTTCAGAAAAATGGCAAACATACTGAATTTAGTATTACACTCTGGAAAGCCATACATGTCAAAAATTAAAAGATAGTCCATACAAGGAAAAAAAAGTTGTTCAGACCAATAGAAGACAGATCAGAAGGAAAAGAGCAGCATAAGAAACAGAAAAATAAGCAGAAAACACATGGTAAGATGGTAGAAATAAGTACATTGGTAATGATAATAAATGTGAACAATCTAAATTTACCAGCAAAGGCAGAAAATTGAGATTAAAGTTCACTTATATTGAGTTTACAAGAAGCATACTAAAAGCAGAGAGAAATGGTTTACTCTGTAATTGTTTTATGTCTTAAACTGATGGTGGTTATACAAATGTGATTATTCTCTATATTCTTGTATGTTTCATTTAAAAATCTAATGCTACTTTATGAAGTACAGATTATACTTCATCAATTTGGAGAAATAAAAGATGATCTTTACAATTCCACAGAGCCTGGTCTTTGGAACCAGAGAGGCCATTACTACCATGCTCTATAACCTCATCAGCATCACTATGCTTTGACATATTCTGAGGGTAAAAACAGCATTTATGATACATTAACTGTATACCAAGCACTGAGCTAAACGTTTTAAGTACATAATTCATTTATATTAATCCTCAGAAAAATTCTTCACAGGGCAGGTATAAATAATACTATTTTGTCAATAAAGAATCTGATGTTTAGGAAGTTTAGGAAGTTTAGGTAATCTGCTCCAAGTTAACAGTAAGGAGAGGTCATTTGACAACAAAACTCACAGTCTTCAATCATAACCACAGAATGGAGAATGGTAAGTACTAGACCAGACCAAAGAGGAGCTCTTCATGTCAAGCCGGCACTCATTTCCAGCAGCACTGCGGAGCGCAATGAATTCGGCTAGTCACCAACCTGTTGCGCCAAGCAACAGAGACTAAGTTTCTGCTGCTACTTTTCTGTGTATTTATTTCTCCTAGCTACTTATTCTTCAACGTTTTGACATTTTAAAATGGCCTATTATCTCAATGTTATTTGTGCAGCACCTTCAAGAAAAAGGTACTGTATAAATTGAATAAAAAATACTGCAATTACGCTAATTTTGTGTCATATGTATCAATGATCATTGTTTCTCCCATAACCATTTCTCTACCATTTAACTGGAAATGTTACAAGGCCTTAAAAGAACTATAGTGGAGTCATCATTGCACCTTCCAGCCCAGTTCCCAATACACACACACACATACAACTTTGTATGCAAACTTACAAGGAGGGGGATGATAGATTTGACTCAGACACACACACACACACACACACACACACACACACACACACACACACTACTTTGTATGCAAACTTACAAGGAGGGGGATGATAGATTTGACTCACTCAGACACAATAACTTTTTGAGATAAATAATGCTGGTGTCTAAAGACATTACCAGGTCCCACCCATACAATCTCTAGCCCATGCTTGCCGTGTTCCTTGGATGCTCAGGTACTTTTCAAGTTTTGTGAATCAGCAGTTGACAGGACTCACCTTCTTTTAACCTGTGCTCCCCCAATATGCCTTTTTTTAAACACCACCCCAGAGCAACAATGTCATAAAGTCCACAGACTAACCATATTCATTACAAATCAAAGTGGCTGCTCACAAAGAATATTAGTAGACATTCTCTACACATTCTCTGCTTAAATTAAAAAAGAACAAGGAATCACAGAATTTTAGAACCAGAAAAAACTAAATATTTAGCTCAATCTTCTCACCTTACAAAGAAAACAAGGACCAAGAAAGTTAATACAATTCACCAGAAATTTAGTTAGTCCTTGTTATGGTTTGTGTCTGGAGGTTCCCCCAAATCCTCATGCAGTCATGGGGCGGGCTTCCAGAGTTTTTGATTGATCCATAATCCAATGCTGGGGTTATGAGTGTGAGTGCTACACCTGCCCTGGGCTGGACAGTTTGCATACAACATAAGGGAAAGAGCCTTGTTGCCTCTTCCCTTTTGCTCTTGTTGCTTTTGCAGTCTTCCACCGCCATGAATGGTTGCCCTCTGCCATGTGCCACTCTGCCTTGGAGCCAGCCAAGTATGGACTGAAACCTCCACAAACTGTGAACTAAATAAACCTTTCCTTCCTTCATTTTGGGTGTTGGGTATTTTGTCTCAGCAATAAGAGAAAAGTAACCAAGATAGTCCTAAAGGTTTTAAACTCCCAAGCCACAGTTAGCAGTTTGTGCAATACACAGTAGCATTAGATGTGGATTCCAGTCCTGACTGTGCTATTTAGTTGGTATGTGGCTAAAAGGAACTGTTCAATCTTTTAAAGTCCAGATTGTAAAGGAAAGGAAGGTAGTTATTCAAAACTCTCAAGATAATGGGAATTAAGTGAGCTAATATAAAGTTTTTGGCACAAGGGTGGTCAACAAAATACCAGTAATTAAAAATGAAAGGTATAGCCCTAGTTTAAATAAAGGGTCACTAAGTAAAAGTTATCTCTTCCTTTTGTACCTGATTCTTATTTGCATCACAGCCATATTCTCTTGCACTTTTCTTTCATTCTACATCCAACTTCTGCTTACACTTAAAAAGAAGAGAAGGTGGAAGGATGGAGGGGAGAATCCTAGAAGCCTGTTCCAGAGACAAAAGGGGTGCAGATTTGTATTACATGTGAAGAAGTAAACAAAACATGAGGCAGAGAGATTGCCTCTCTACATGCTACACTGGAAAACAGAAAGATGAAAGGTCCAAAAAGAGCCCATTCACCTGATCCAGATACAGTGACAGTCTACTCGCCTGTTATTATACAATTCTCATATATATGAGAAAACTAGAAATCTCCAAGCAAATTCATTTCTATACATGAAAAAAAAATGGAAATAACTGTCTTTATAAATTTGTGCTGCTAATGATATACCTAAAGGTGTAAACCTGTCTTTGAATAAAGTTGTGAGTTTGATAGAGGTTTATATGAATAAAGATTTTCCTAAACTACTGTCTGTAAAACCTGAGCAAAAACTTTTAGTAAGATTACTATCAACTAGGGGGAAAAATCATTTGTCAACAATGTCACTCATACAACCGTTAGTAATCAGAAAGGAAAGGTTTCCACACAGACAGAAAGTGACCTAATGTAAAATGACCAGTGAAGATCCTGGACTTGGTTGCCCACATTCTCGCTGCACTTTGTCTCCACCACTGTTCTCAGAATGATTTTCACAGATTTATCTTCTTACTATAAAAGGTATCTTTCAAAAGGCTGAGAGCACCATGAAAGAATCCTGCCTTTCCTGCTAAGACTGTCCCCTGACAGCCTCTCTGAAACTGTATCTTCTCTAGTCATTACTCAAAGCCTGCCTTTGTTGTGCCCATTTGTTTATCTCTCTGATGTAGTACTGGATTTGGCAAGATGCTTATTAGCTCACATCCCCACCCTCTTACAGATTGACAATAATATATCTTTCAGAATGATTTCTTCAAAACAGAGAATACACAAAAGTAATTTGGAAAGGATTTCAGGAGTTTCCCTACATTAAGTTTTTTTTCAAAATAAATTGTCTTTAACCCTTTCTTGTAACCTATTCTTCTAAGGAAAATTTTATGATAAATATGCAATATGTCCATTCACTGATGTATCAGACCAATTCACTATTGTTACACATTTTCAATTACTAATTTTTCACTAATATAAGCAATACTTTATCAAGCTTCCCTACGTTATATTCCTAGAAGCTGATCAACTGTTAAGCGAGAATACATATTTTTAAAACACTGATACATAATGTCAAACTCTCTTGGCACAACATCCTGTGATTTCCCATAGCCCAACACCAACTATGGTGTACTGTGTAAGAGTCCCTGCCCACTACTTAGTCTCCCACATAATACAGGACCCAAGACAGAGATGGTACCCAATAAATACTAACTTCATGAATACAGAAGTAGCCAAGTGTTTCCTCATTAAAAAAATCTATCACAGAATTGCATCTCAAAGCATCAACTGTTATTTTAAATCTTTCACAAACTATTTTATGTGCCTTTAGGTGAACTCCTACAGTCATTTCATGTGGGTTAATATTTCTAAAGCATCAAGTTTTTTCAAAATCTGTGAATTTCTATTTTCATAATCAAAAGAAAGGAGAAATTCAACTTCATTTGTTTCAACTCACAGGATGATTTGGCTCACAACAAGGTTTCTACGTCATTATTGTGGAATCTAAAGCTGGGTACAAAAAAAATCAAATGGAAGACAAATGAGGAGCTACTGAGAGGCAGGCATACTGCTGGGGGCTTTAAATTCATTTTCTTATTTAAACCTCAGAACCAACAGGTCAGCAGGTGTCAGCCCCTGAGGTTCAGCAGAGGCAACTTGGGCAACCTGAACAAGCTGCAAAGCAGGGGCTTGAGACACAGGCTAACTTGACTCTACGCTCCTCCCACTGCAGCAGGCACCCCTGGAGCAACCACTTCCTAGCGTTCAGCCAGTAGACAGTACTTGGCCAGTTCCCACATTTCCATTCCCAGTATTCAAACCCCCGATTTTATACCACAGACATAACTCCATGTTTCCACTGGAGGTTTTAATTTGATATTCCATGCTATAAAATACTTCATATTTCAAACAGTCAATTAAAGTAAAAGAAAAAGGCTGTCAGGGGTTTTGTTTCTTAACCCACTTACAAATAAAAATTCATTTCCTTTATCTCAAGAGTTTGATTCAAGCAAGGCACTGTATAAAACTCTCCTTTTACATAACAAGGTTCTCTGTCTATTACTCCTTTCTTTGTAATGGATTACAGCCTCTACTAGCAGGTAC